GCTGACCCGTCGCTGTTTCTACGCACCGACACTTTGCTGCCGCCGTTCTACATCCTCGTGTACGTCGACGACTTGGTCTTTGCCACTGCTGACACTGAGGCTCTCGCCCTGGTGAAGTCGGAGCTGCAGAAGAGACACACGTGCATAGACCTGGGTGAGCTGCGCAGCTACCTTGGCTTGCAGATCACCCGGGACAGAGCACGCCGCACCATCAGACTGACTCAGTCACATATGGTGCAGCAGGTCCTTCAGCGCTTCGGCTTCACTTGGTCCTCGCCACAGCATACTCCTCTGGCTATAGGCCACTCGCTCTCAGCTCTGTCTTCGGATGAGTCCGCTAAGCCGAGTGGCCCGTACCCAGATCTAGTGGGCTGCCTCGTGTACCTGATGACCTGCACTCGACCTGACCTTGCGTACCCTCTTGGCCTTCTGGCCCGCTATGTGGCTCCTGGTAGGCACCGAAAGGTGCACATGGATGCTGCTAAGAGGGTACTGCGTTACTTGTGCAGTACATCGGGCATGGGGCTCGTGCTTGGAGGGCGGAGCCCAGTTGTCCTCACTGGGCACTCGGACGCTTCTTGGGTTGACGACCTAGCTACGCAGCGGTCGTCACAGGGTTACACCTTCAGCCTTGGTTCTGGTTCAGTTTCCTGGCGGTCTACACGCTCGTCTTCAGTTCTCGGCTCCAGTTGTGAGGCTGAGATCTACGCCACAGCCATGGCTGCACAGGAGCTACGCTGGCTCACCTACCTGCTGACCGACTTGGAAGAGCGGCCTCGTTCTCCTCCAGTGCTGTACGTCGACAACAAGGCCGCCATTGCCTTGTGTCAGGAGCACAGACTGGAGCACAGAACGAAGCACATCGCTCTGCGTTACTTCCTTGCTCGAGAGTTGCAGCAGCGTGGTCAGCTTCGTCTTGCTCACGTGACCACTCGGGCCAACACTGCTGATATATTCACCAAGGCACTTCAGTCTGGTGATCATCAACGTTTTTGTACTTTGTTAGGCCTTGTGCCCACGTTTTCTCACTTGCTGTAGACTTTGCCTGTACTGTGATATATATATGTATATATATACCTGCATGCTTGCTCTGTTAGGTAGAGATCACTGTGCTGCTGTTGTTGCATATTTGCCTCTGCATGTGAACTGGCCTTGTGGCCCTTTGCTTGTGCTCTGTGTATGGTGACGTTGTGATCCACCCTGAGCTTGCTTTGCTTCTCTTGACTGGTCTTGTGACCGCTTGTTCTCCCCCACTTTGCCTATGGGGGTGTGTCAAAGTATATGCATGTTATATATGTGTAGGCTGTAGTGGGGTAGCCAATATGGGGTACAGCCAGGGCTGATTTTATCAGACTATTTTAGTCTGATTGTCTGAAATCTCAGACTCTTTTTTTCGCCTTTCCTGAAATTTCAGTATTCCTGTATTCTGAACTCTGAAGGCCTCAGACCTGTTAGTTTTTCAACTCTGAAAATTTCAGAGTACTTCATTGTGCGATACTGAGACTCGAGACTACAGGGAGTATGGCCCCTGAATTTGCCGAATTTCAGTCCTCCCCCCTCCCCCTCTCTCGAATTACATTCAATTCCCCCCCTGCCCCCCTCCCCCCTCCCCCTTCCCCCGCCCCCTCTTACTCCTGCTTCTCGCCAACTCCACAACGTTTTCCCTAGGCCAAACTCGCTTGACAGATATTCGCTATTCACCAACTCGGATGCGGTTTTACAAACTTAAAACTTTTCAGACTAATGACTTTTTCAAACCTGACATTTCAGAGTACTCAGAACTTGGGAAATGACCCTCAGACTAAACGAAATCTTTTTCTCCCCTGCCTCAGAGTGGGTTTTTTTGAAACCTCAGCCCTGGGTACAGCCCCGTTTAGGGTTTCATACTTGTACTTAACTCTTCCATAGTGCATTCATTCGTGCTGCTAGATTCTAACATTAAGAACGATATTTTTAATGAGAATTTTATGTATATATGATACATAGGAAATAATCATTTTGCGACAGGTTTGGTTGCGTGTTTCTAGCCATAACACTTCCATGAGGGATCTGTAAGGATGGGTAAGAAATCACAGTAGAGACTTGAGCAAATAAATGTACGGTAGGTGGGTCCAAGGGTGAATGGTGGAAGTGAGAGAGTTGTCTATTACAAGAGCAGTATATGATATGGTGGTGTGGTGTGCACATGGAGTACCAGTACGAGGATGTCCATGTAGAGAAGGATCTAGTGTTTGTTGGCTGGAATGCCATGTTCAAGCCGTACCAACTAGTAAACATAAGGAATGAGTTTCTTCACACGGGCACTGTATTCTACATATGGTCGTCCAAATCTAACACCAAGCCATTTCTCCTCAACGCTAGCCTTCCTCTCTAGGAACATGGCAAGAAAACAAGTGTACAGCAACCTCTCGCTGCTGCATGTTGCGAGAGTCACCCCCACTGCGAAGAAAATAGCTCCTGCATATATCGGATGACGCACAATCGAGTACAAGCCTCCTGTCTTCAGAGTGGCGGCAGCTGCAGGTTTGGGAAAAGGTGTCAAGCTTTCTCCGAGGTCTTTCAGAGCAGATACGAAGAAAACACAGGAGCTCAGGGCGATCAGAACGCCAGTAACGCGGATGATGTCGAAGGAGAAAATCGTCACGGACGGGCAGACGGAGGCGCGAAGGAAGGTGGGGAGGAGAGACGGAGGGGGGTAGAGAACGAGGATGAACGGGATGAGCTGAAATACGGCCCACCACTCGCCGCGTGTCCCCCATTTCCCGTCGTTCATGTTCCTCCATACATGCATGCGCTGCGTCTCTCCATTCGGATTCCTGGACCGCGAAGCGTCACTGCCGTCTGTTCCCGCCATACCCTCCCGTTTCCGAAGTCAGGAGGACAAGAGGAGTGATTCAGTCGCGGGATGCGCGGGATTCGGAGAGGGCTGCTGGCATCAGTGTGGACAATGGCGATGTAAACAAAAGCTTGTCAATGAACCCTGGTATTAGGGCGGGTCCAACTCGTTTCGTTTCAGGGAATAACACCCCTGTAACAAAATGTTGACTGTCCGGATGACAAACACCCAATTCGAACCTAAACACGTGCAGCGTCATGGTGATCCCAGTCGGGCACAGCACCTGCCCAAACGAACTGGTGTACCATCAACACAGACACAACATCCCTCACGTATGAACAGAAGTTGATGGGGACAAAATAATGCTTGCAATCGGCAGACTTCGTCAGGGGTTTTTGTGGGAAGACACTCTAGGAACTGGAGCTGTTGCGAGACAGGTTACCGTCTGACGAAAATTCGTACCGTCTGTTACTGGGATGTGTGTGTGAGAGAGTTTGATTTGCTCTTGCTTCCCAGTTCGCAATATTTTCGGAAAATTTTCGAGTTTGAAATGTGTTGTGGCACGAAACTCGTTTTGCATGGCGGAAAATCGAGCGCGTCATCCCGGCTCGTCTCATGATTTGACGCGGTTACCCTACAGAAAAAGGTTACAGAGGCTAATATTGACCTGAGCTGTGATGAGTTGGACCCGCCCTTAGGCCTGTGCCTGTGATCTGCCATGAGCGGTACGTGCTACGGCTGATCTGGGAGGAACGAGATTGCTGGAAGTATCTGGCGAAACATCCTTAATTCCGTTACAGCATAACGCGTTATAAACGTGACTGCATATGCAATTCTCTTCGTTAGTCCGAACTCCCTACTCTGGGGATGGAAGTGAATGTCACTAAAATACCGTAACTCGTCGCCACGATGTGAAAATTTCGCGAATGCCGTTGGTGGGGTAGTTCTTGTGTGAGACGAACCACGGATCTGGGTAAGTTTCCTCACGTAACCAAAAGATGTGTTAATAAAGACAGAGTTGCCAAGCTCTCGGTTTCCACACCCCGTCTCAGTAGCAGAATCATTCGACGCTTCGGATGAGAGTTTGCTGGGCGCTTTGAGGTATATGTTTCTAATTTGGAAAGAGTTCAGATCCATCTCAGCGATTTCGAGACATCCATGCAGCCTCATAATAGTTTGAAACTTCCCAATCCCCACCCTATCCCCACCCTATCCCCTGCCCTGCCCTCCAGATAAAACACGGCAGTTCATTTTCTGATGATTCCATACTCTTTTGGCAAGAGGGGAAACTCCAGGAGTTCTCTCATGTTCGCCTTGACGCGAGCCTGAATTTTCACCAGCTGTAGCCATAGGCTCAGGTTCCTCCTAAAGTCCCTTCTTCAGGAGCTTTTCCTGACAGAACTGCTGCAACAGAACTCTTTAGCACAAGGGGGGAGGGAACGCGAATTGTGATAGGCTCACAAATTGCACTCTCGGAGCGGCAATCCCGTTCCAAGGTGTGAAAATTCTCCTGGCGCTCCGCCTGACCAGCTGAAGGCGCGGGTTTGTCAGGCAGGCAGCTTTCTCACCGAGGAAATTGGTTTGCATATAATCCACAACCCTGCTGCGGATAGGTATCGGAAAATCCATAAAACAGCATTTGTCGTTTTCCTCGACTCCTCCTATACCTACTCTAATACCACCTGAGGAAGCTCCTCCGTTTCCATTTCGCTGTTGGTCTCGCCTTCTTCTCGCCACAACTATTAGCACACCATCATTGTCTCATTCTTAGCGCACTCGCAAGTCTCTCGGGACTTCACGCGAACTGAAGCTCGCTCTCTCTACTCTCCTCCCTCCCCCGACCCGCTGAACTCTACTCTTCGCCTCCTGTGATTATTCGGGAATCTGAATCGTCTGAAGACTGCTGCGATTGTAACGTCTCGTATCAACAACGCCGAACCACAAAGCCTCGGCGAGTCGCGGACCCTATAAATCGTTTCAGACTTACGGCCTCTCCACCAATCTATCTCGACGTCTCAGCAACCGGTGGGTCAAACGACGAAGCAGCGACAACGCAAGCAGTAGCAGGAGAAGAAGCTGCAGGCACAAAGCACAGCCATCCCACGCGTGGTTTCCAGGCACGGAGTTTTTGATCGTCACGCGAGAGAGTAAACTACGAGGCGCCATGGCGGGTACCGGCCGTTCCCCTGTATCTGAAGCGTCTCGAAAATCGTCGCGTCATCTCGAAGTGCCGGTGGCGCTTTCCCTCCTCCTCGTGACCCTAGCGCTCTTCCTGGCGCCAATTGCGGCCAACAACTGCCCTTCCTTCCGGCCAATCGGCGTCGAGTGCCCTCCCGCCACGTCAGCAGAATCCGCGTCCGCATCCGCCACCGCAAATCCCGCCTGCAAATCGCAGGCTTACCTGGGCCGATTCGCCGTGCAGGGCTCGAAGCGCTTCCGCCTCCCCGCGCTCCCCAATGGCGTTCCGCTTCCGCCGGGCGCGCTCTCTGCGGACTGCTGCGCGGAGTGCCAGCAGCGCGCCGATTGCGCCTACTGGAACATCCTGCTCCGCTCGCGCCGCTGCCTGCTCTTCGCTGCTGACGTGTGCGCCGCGGACGGCCCGGCGGTGTTTCTTCCCGGCGAGGAGAACGCTTTGTAAGTCGCTCGGTTCTGAGCGGTTGAGAGAGATCCTCGTAGCTTATTCTCATGCCCTCCCCCAGCCTCCCCGCCGTGGACGGGCCGGCTGTGTTTCCTCCCGGCAAGGAGCACGCCTTGTAAGTCGGTCCTGAGCGGTTGAGAGAGTTCCCCACATCTCCCCTCAACCTCCCCGCCCCGGACGGTGTTTCTTTCCGGTGAGGAGTTCGCCTTGTAAGTAAAGGTCTCGACTAGAGCCGAACCCTTCCGGACTCCAATACTTTCCCTGCCCTTCCTTACCTTTCATTCCTCTCGTTCGCCCATTCCTTCCTCCCCCCTCATATTTCTATACGCATTCCAGTCCCTGTCTTTACTTCGTCAAATACTCTGTCGATACTCCGTCTATGCTCCGTCTACTACCCTCACCCGGCTAATTTGTGCGGGCTCCGCATATGCATGCTGTTCCGCCTTCCGGTCCCTTTGCGCCTTGCAGCGTTGGGACTCGATACTGCAACGCAACCACGTCTATAACGCGTACAACGGCCAACACTGCCGAGACCACAGAAGACGACAGCACACCCTCCGAGAGCGCGCTTTCTGTTTTCGAGGACGCTACTGACGAGGATGAGCAGGAGGCGGCAGAGGGGCAGGCGGAGGAGAGAGCGGAAGCGGAGGAGGAGCACGACGCGCATGTGATGGGCGTGTTTGAAGGGGACATGGCGAGAATGCACGCAGAGGAGGCGGAAGAGTTGAAGATCGTTGAAGCAGCGTCTCAGGCGCAGCCGCAGGGGCAGGAGCAGCAGCAGCGGCAGGAAGAGGCGGCGTATCAGAACAACCCTGAGGCGATGGCTGCTTTGGAGCTGGAGGTAATGCAAGGCGATGAGCAGGCGCGGAAAGAGCAGACGGAGCAGACGGAGCAGCCTCATAGCGTCGAAGTCTTTGAGCTTTTCGAGCTCCAGCAGCAGCAGCACCAGGAGGGGGAGGCGCAAGGAGAGAAGAACCCTGAGCCGTTTCAGGAGAATTCTCAGGTGATGCAGCAGATTGAGGGGGAGGGCGTGGCAGCGCAGCAGGCAGAAGAGCGCTCTACCATTCAAGGCATGGAAGCCTTTGAGGAGGACGCGAATGAAGAGAAGGAAGAGGAGCGAGAGAAGGAAGAGGCAGCTCGGGCTGCGGCGGTGAAAGAGATAGAGGAGGAGGAGATCCCCATCCGTCTCGTGTCCTTCTCCCTTGTCGACCCCAGCTCTCAAGTCACAAGCCAAGCAGCCGCCATGGAAGCAGAGGAGGCGGAGAGAAAAAGCAACGAGGAGGCGAAGAGAGACACAGACGCCAAACAGGCTGCCTGGAGGGACCTGGAGCAGCAGGAGATTCCAGTGAAACTGACCTCATATGAAATGGTGGACTCTAATTCTCTTGCCGTGAGCCAAGCAGCAGCAATGGAGGAAGAGGTGGAGAGGCAGGCAGACGCCAGTGCAACCGCTCTCAGGGACCTGGAGGAGCAAGAGATTCCTGTGAAGCTAACCTCATATGAGATGGTGGACGCTGGTTCACTGGCTGACAGGCAAGCAGAGGCGATGGAGCAAGAAGAGGTGGAGAGGCAGGAGAGTGAGAGAGCAGCAGTGTTGAGGCAGCTGGAGGAGCAAGAGATTCCAGTGCGGCTAAACCTGAGAGGGCACTCTGCCTTCCACACGGCGTCCTAAGCTGCTTACAGCAAGGCAGCTGGAGGAGCAAGAGATTCCAGTGCGGCTGAACCTGAGCGGGCACTCTGCCTTCCACGCAGCATCTTGAGCTGCGACTAGCAGGAAAAGCACTGTGGAAGAGTGGAACCACCTTCAGTCACCTGGTTATCATACTTTAATTATAAATTAGTGGTGGGTGTATGTGTATGATCGATACAAGCTCGCGCTTTTGTGCTCTGGTTGTGGGCTGGGTGGTTTATGTGTACCATGTTGTATAAAAATCTATTGAATGCAACGTCAAATTAAAAGCATTGTTCAATGACCAACCTTATCATGTCCCCAGAGTATTTTGCTTTTTTAGTTGCCCGTATTCTCATGGAAGCAGGGAGCCTGCTGGTGCTCACAGGTTAACATTGATCAGATGTGTTTCTCACCATGAGATCTCTCCATAAGCTTGGTGTTGAGGAAAGTGCATCATTAGATACACAGCAGAGGCAATCATGTACATTTCAATGGTGTGACTACAACCTAGCATACTGTACTATAATATGGATAGGGCACTGACAGCAACAGCAGAGATCCTACCAGAAAATGCTCTGGCTCTACACCAGGGACTTGCACATGCCAACCTTCATATACAACGCTTACTCAAGGCAGCAGCTACTGGTACTAAAAGAATGCACTTGTGGTGACTTCTCCCAAATGCATGAACACAAGCAAACAAAACAGAGAAACGCTGCTACAAGGTTGCCTGGACAGCAGAAGAGAAAGGGCTGCTGTTCACATGCCACCCACAACCAGCACCACACCCTCACCGCTACACATTCTTTCACTCACTCAGCATTGGTTCAGTCTGTAATCAACTCCTTCCTGCTTTCTCGTCCTCAACTTTCCCCCTCCTGCGTCCCACCCTGGGTGCCCCACCTTACTCCACTGCCCCCTCCTCCCCTGGTAGCTGTGCCACTGCCCCTCTTCCACTCATTTATCTCCACTGCTCCTTTGCACCCTCATTGCTTCATCTGAGCATAACCCCTTACCGACTTCAGTGCCCATTCAACCAGCGTCATCATCAACTCACACATCTCCAGCTCCTCCTCCTCTACCCTCGCCCATGCAAGCTGCTTCCCACCCCTTGCACCTGCCTTCCCGACCCTCACCCTCACCACCACTACCATACCCCATATACTCCGTACTTGGCCCCCTTCCTTGCCACTGACCGGCATCCTCTTCTTTCCCACCTCATCCAACTCCTCCTCCTCCGCCCTCACCCCGGCCAGCTGCTTCCCACCCCATACCTGCCCCCCTTACCCTCACTCCGTACTTGGCCCCCCTTCCTTGCCAAACTGCAGCCTCCTGACCGGCGTCCTCATCTCGCTGACCTCATCTAACTCCTCCTCCTCGGCCCTCGCCCCGGCCAGCTGCTTCCAGTGAGATATCCTGCTCTTGAGCCACTGCACCTCCTTGTTGGCGACATTCTTCGACGCCTCATTGACGATTGACCGCACCCGCGTGGCGTAGCTGCGCGAAACAAAGGGAGAGAAGAGGAGGGGAGGCAGGGAGAAGAGGGAGCAGAGAAGAAGGAGGAGAGCAGGCAAACTGTTGCTATCCTGCTCTTGAGCCACTGCACCTCCTTGTTGGCGACACTCTTCGACGCTTCATTGACGATTGACCGCACCCGCGTGGCATAGCTGTTCGGGAGGAGAGGGAGGGATGCAGAGGGGAGAGAGGGAAAGAGAGTGTTGCTACCCTGCTCGTGGGCCACTGCTGAGAGGTTCTTCGACGTCTCGTTAACAGTTGATTGCACCCAAGTGGCACAGGCAAGGAGGGGGGGGCGGCAGAGAGGGAGGTAGACGCTCATGTTCGTGAACGTCTCCCCCACCGATGTGAACCTAGACGAGACTCACAACTGCCTTGCGCGAGTCTTGTCCAGGTTTCCATCGGCGGGAGAGGCATCCACAAACATGAGCGACTTGGCTCAAAACACCCTGTACCATCACATCACCTCACTGTCACCAAACCCACACTCACGCGAGCAAGTTGTGCGTTTTCAAGCACACGCCCTCCTCACCAAACCCCACACCCCCCCCCCCCCTCCCCCCCCCAAACTACTCACGTGAGCGAGTTGTGGGTCTCGTCGAGGTTCCCATCCGCCGGCGAAATATTCACGAACATGAGCGTCTTGGCGTTGCCGCCCAGCGAGTCGCTCATGAGCATCGTGAGCTTGTGGTTGCGGTACGGGATGTGCCCGCCGCCCTGCGCCAGCGCACTGATCACGTCCCCCAGAGCCGACAGGGACTTGTTGATGGATTGCGCTTCTCTGAGCTGCTCTCCCTCGGAGCGCGACTTCTTGACCCGCTCTGATCCCGCCAGGTCCACAAAACTCAGCTGGAGGTGAGGGGGGGGGGAGAGAGTGGAAGGAAAGAAAGAAAGGGAGAGGGGAGAATGGGAAAATGGGGGAGGGAAGGAAAGGGAGCGGGGGCAGTGGAGAGAGGGGGAAGGGAATAGGGAAAAGGAGAAGAAAGAGGGAGAGGCAGCAAGTCGTTGATGCACAGTTTTGAGTAGTGGGTCGGAGCGGGCAAAGTTGTTGCTGTCAGAGGGCGTGCAGCTGAAGGAGGCCCAGTCCATCAACAAGTCGCACTTTGGTCTTCATCTTTTGGATTCAGGAGAGATGAGGAGCAGAGTGCGACTTGTTGATGCACTGGGCTTCCTTCGGCTACTCGCCCTCTGACAGCGACTACCCTCGACCCCACCAGGCGCACAAGGCTCATCTGAAAGGCGGGAATTCTGGATGAGGAGAACAATCGGGTAAAAGGGGTAACTCGGGGTGGCAAGTTAGGGGGGGGTATCAGCAAATCGAGTTACACAAAAGAAGAAAAACACACACATACACGCCCCCACACTCACACACAGACACTCCCACACTCTCACCTTTCCGCGGCACACGTTCTGCGTCTGCAGGTCGGTCGTCTCAATCACGATCGACAGCACCAGGTGCGACCGAGAGCTCTCGGCGTTCATCTGCGTGCCGGCCACTGCCCTCCTCTCCATGCCCCCCTGCACCACCGCCTCCAGCTGGGACAGGTACTGCACCTCGATGAGAGTCGCATTCTCCACAACGACCATGCCCTGAGGAGGGGGGAACAAGTATAACACATGGATACAGGGATATAGCATTGCAAATGCGAACCCAGTATGACACAGCCACATGCTACATGATATGATACATGCTACAGTCATATGTTCCATGCTACAGGCACAAGTCACATGCTACATGATTCGTACCTTGGCATCCTTCTTGATCTCCAGCTTCCTCTTAGTGGCAGTCTTTGGCAGCAGGAGATCCTGCAGCGTGTCCTGATAGAGCTCCAGCATGTACACCTGGAATGGGAAAGGTTGGCCCGGATGAGTGAGCGAGAGTGAGTGGGTTGCCATTCACACTGAGCAGCAGCAGGTCCTGATAGAGTAGGGGAAAACGAAGAGCAATACAGGGCAGAACAGAAGAGGGAGAAACGAAGAGCAATACAGGGCAGAACAGAAGAGGGAGAAACGAAGAGCAATACAGGGCAGAACAGAAGAGGGAGAAACGAAGAGCAATACAGGGCAGAACAGAAGAGGGAGAAACGAAGAGCAATACAGGGCAGAACAGAAGAGGGAGAAACGAAGAGCAATACAGGGCAGAACAGAAGAGGGAGAAACGAAGAGCAATACAGGGCAGAACAGAAGAGGGAGAAACGAAGAGCAATACAGGGCAGAACAGAAGAGGGAGAAACGAAGAGCAATACAGGGCAGAACAGAAGAGGGAGAAACGAAGAGCAATACAGGGCAGAACAGAAGAGGGAGAAACGAAGAGCAATACAGGGCAGAACAGAAGAGGGAGAAACGAAGAGCAATACAGGACAGAACAGAAAAGGGAGAAACGAAGAGCAATACAGGGCAGAACAGAAGAGGGAGAAACGAAGAGCAATACAGGACAGAACAGAAGAGGGAGAAACGAAGAGCAATACAGGGCAGAACAGAAGAGGGAGAAACGAAGAGCAATACAGGGCAGAACAGAAGAGGGAGAAACGAAGAGCAATACAGGGCAGAACAGAAGAGGGAGAAACGAAGAGCAATACAGGACAGAACAGAAGAGGGAGAAACGAAGAGCAATACAGGACAGAACAGAAGAGGGAGAAACGAAGAGCAATACAGGGCAGAACAGAAGAGGGAGAAACGAAGAGCAATACAGGACAGAACAGAAGAGGGAGAAAGGAAGAGCAATACAGGGCAGAACAGAAGAGGGAGAAACGAAGAGCAATACAGGGCCGAACAGAAGAGGGAGAAACGAAGAGCAATACAGGGCAGAACAGAAGAGGGAGAAACGAAGAGCAGTACAGGGCAGAACAGAAGAAGGAGAAACGAAAAGCAATACAGGGCAGAACAGAAGAGGGAGAAACGAAGAGCAATACAGGGCAGAACAGAAGAGGGAGAAACGGAGAGCAATGCAGGCAGAACAGAAGAGGGATAAAACGAAGAGAGCAATACAGGCAGAACAGAAGCGGAGAAAACGAGGAGCAAACATCCGCGACGCAAGAAAACCGCCCTTCCCACCTGCAGCTTGTAGCTCATCCGCCCGGCCTCCTTCCTGAGGCAGTTAAAGAGCTCCTGCATGGCGCGCGGGGTGAGCCCCGAATTGTACCCCCATTCACCCCCCTCCTGCTCCCTTCCTCTGCTAACTCTAACCCCAGAAGGGCAACCCACCTGCAGCTTGTAGCTCATGCGCCCAGCCTCCTTCCGGACGCAGTTGAACAGCTCCTGCACGGCGCGCGGCGTGAGGCCCAGGTTGTGACCCCCTTCATCCCCCTCCTGCTCCTCTCTCTGACACCCCGTCACACCTCTACCAACCACGCAAGCAAACAGCCCTCCCCACCTGCAGCTTGTAGCTCATGCGCCCAGCCTCCTTCCGGAGGCAGTTGAACAGCTCCTGCATGGCGCGCGGCGTGAGCCCGGGGTTGTTGTCCCCGCCGTAGATGGTGAAAGTT